CTGAATAATATTCCATTGTATGGATTGCTGAAGTTTATCCATTCACTTTTTTTTTTTTAATGATGGATTTATTTGGGTGTATTCTGCTTTTTTTTTTTCTTTTGGCCACGCCACATGGCATGTGGGACCTTAGTTCCCCGACCAGGGATTGAACCCATGCCCCCTACATTGGAAGCACAGAGTCTTAACCACTGGACCATCAGGGAAGTCCCTATCCATTCACCTTTTGAAAGGCATCTTAATTGCATCCAGCTTTTTGAAATTACAAATAAAGCTGATACAAACATTCATGCACAAGTTTTTGTGTGGATGTAAGTTTTCTACTCATTTGGGTATATAATACCTAGAAGCATGACTGCTAGATCATACGATAAGTCTATGTTCAGCTTTGTGTGAAACAGCCAAACTGTCTTCCAAAGTGACTGTATCATTTTGATTTCCCATCAGCAATGAGTGAGAGTTCCTATTGTTCCATTTCCTCATCAGCATTTGGTACTGTCAGTTTTTTGGATTTTGCCATTCTAATAGATGTTTAGTGGTATGTTGCTGCTGTTTCAATGTTCATTTTCTTAATGACATATGATGTTGAGCATCTTTGTATATGCTTATTTGCCTCTTGTATATCTACTTTGTTAAGGTGTCTGTTCAGTTCTTTAGCCCATTTTTTAATTGGGTTGTTTGCTTTCTTCAGTTTTAGAGTTCTTTGTATATTTTAGATACAAGCCCTTGTCCCTTGTCAGATGTGTTTTGCAAATATTTTAATACTTTCTTCTAGCTTATGGCTTATCTTTTTCATTCCCTTAAAAATGTCCTTTGCAGTTTTAAAATTGAGTCCAACTTACCAATTTTTTCTCTCATGGATCATGCTTTTGTTATTGATCTAAAAATTCATCACCACACCCATGGTCACCTAGGTTTTCTCCTGTTACCTTTTATAAGTTTTATAGTTTTGTTTTATATTTAGGTCTGTGATCCATTTTGAGTTAACTTTTTTGTCCAAGGTGTAAGATCTGTGTCTAGCTTTTTTTTTTTTTGCATGTGGATGTGCAGCTGTCCAGCACCATTCATTGAAAAGAAAATTTTCTCCACTGAATTGCTTTAGTTGCTTTGTCAAAGATCAGTTGATTATATTTGTGTGGGTCTATTTCTAGGCTCTCTATTCTGTTCCATTGACTAAATTATTTGTCTGTTCTTTTGCCAGTAGCACACTGTCTTAATTATAGCTTAACAGTAAGTCTTGAGATTGGATAGCATCAGTTCTCTTTGTTTTCTTCAGTATTGTGTTATTCTGGGTCTTCTGCCTTTCCATATAAACTTTAAAATCACTTTGCCAGTATCTACAAAATAAATTGCTGGGATTTTGATTGGGATTGTGTTGAATCTACAGATCAAGTTGAGAAGAACCAACATCCTAACAATTTTCAGTCTTCCTATCCATGAACATGGTAGCCCTTCTTTTACTTCTTTTATAAGAGTTTTATGGTTTCCCCATATAGATCTTCTATGTATTTTGCTAGATTTATTCTTAAGTGTCTCATTTGGGGGGGGCCAATATAAATGGAATTGTAATTTTAATTTCAAATTTCAATTGTTCCTTGCTGATATATAAGAAAGCAACTGACATTTATGCATTAACTTTGGATCCTGTGGCCTTGCTACAATCACTTATTAGTTCTAGGAGTTTGTTGATTCTTTGGGATTTTCTATATAAATAATCATGCCATCTATGAATAAAGGCAGGTGTATTTCCTCCTTCCCAAACTGTATACTTTTTGTTTTCTTTGTCTTATTGCATTCACTAGGTCTTCCAATGTTGAATAGGAGTGGTGATAGGGGACATCCTTGTCTTGTTCCCGATCTTAGGAAGACAACATGTACTTTCTCATCATTCATGATGTTAGCTGTAGGGTTTCTGTAGATATTCCTTATCAAGTTAAGGAAGTTCCCCTTTATTCCTAGTTTGCTGTGAGTTTTATCATGATTTTGTCAAATGCTTTTTCTTTTTGTTAATTAATTTAATTTAATTTATTTATTTTGGGCTGCATTGGGTCTTCGTTGCTGCGCGCAGGCCTTCTCCAGTTGCAGCGAGCGGGGGCCACTCCTCGCTGCGGTGCGCAGGCCTCTCACTGCGGCAGCCTCTCTTGCTGCGGAGCACGGGCTCCAGGAGCGCGGGCCTCAGTAGCTGTAGCATGCGGACTCCAGAGCACAGGCTCAGTAGTTGTGATGCCTGGACTTAGTTGCTCTGCGGCATGTGGGAATCCTCCCAGACCAAGGCCCGAACCCGTGTCCCCTGCATTGGCAGGCGGATACTTAACCACTGTGCCACCAGGGAAGCCCCCAAATGCTTTTTCTGACAAAAAAGCATGATATGACCATATGATTTTTCTTCTTTAGCTGTTGATGTGATAGATTGTATTAACTGATTTTCAAATGTTGAATCAGCCTTGCAAAACTGGAATAAAACCCACTTGGTTGTAGTGTATAATACTTTTAATACATTGTTGGATTCAATGTGCTAATATTTTGTTGAGGGCTTTTGCTTCTATGTTCATGAGAGATACCGGTTTGTAATGTTGTCTTTTTAAAATATAAGTAGGCTGAGAAGTCTCAGAGCTATCAGTCAGTTACACATAAGCAGTAGTTTAATCATATTACTATTTTTCTGAAAACCTCAACTGTGATGAGGCAAAGACACTACTGATCAGAGGGAGAACATGAAACACTTAGGAATCAAGGCAGGCATCAGTCGGGGATAACAGCTCAAAAGCCATGAAAAACTGTAGTTTATACTACTTGCTTAGTTTTTTAAAAAATTTATTTTACTGAAGTATAGTTGATTTACAATGTTGCATTAATTTCTGCTGTACAGATAAGTGATTCAGATATACATATACATACATTTTAAAAATATTATTTTCCACTATGGTTTATCACAGGATATTGAATATAGTTCCCTGTGCTATACAGTAGGACCTTGTTGTTCATCTGTTCTATACTACTTGCTTAGTTTTGAAGTTGTGAATCAGAGGAAAGAATCAGTCCAGAAAGAGGAAGGATAGGATGTGAATGCCTGAAAAAATTGTGAGATATGACAGCCTTGCCTGAATTTTAACTTAAAAATCATGCAGACTAAACCCCAGGTTCTGCAACTTATGTACTGTCTTCTAAGTCAGGGATGGTAAAGCTCTCCTTTCCTCTACCCAGGCCTGCTCCCTCCCTTTATTAGTTTGCCAATTTCAAACAACCAGAGAATTATTTTAACAATGAAATTTTAACCTCACAGAACCACCTTCATAATTTTTGACAACTCTAAATACTAATTATACCATTATTTATTAAGATATGTCATAAAGGTGACTTTTATTAAAATTAATTTCTTTTAAAAGGAAATTTTCATATCTCTACCATTAACAGAAACTAGTATCCCTTACCAAACACAGACACTATACATTAATATACATTAAATACATAACTCTTAAAATTAAAAATGTTTCTCTCTCTACCACCTAAAGTCATCTATTGTGTAACCAGGTGTAAATGTGTCCTATTCTTAGAGAAATACTCATCAAATCCACCTTTCTCCTTCATTTTATAAGCAATAAAACTGAGGACCAGAAAGTAAGGTGAGCTACTTAAGGTCACCGAGCTAATCAGTAGCTCAGCTGGAGCCAACCCTCTCTCTCGCTCTCTTTCTTCCACAAACAAAAATCAACTCTTCACACTCCTATGCTACTGTTCTTTCCACTACATCAAGTTAAAAAAAAAAAAGGCAAGAGAGGATCTTATTTATTAGTATTTTGAGTCAGCAGTCTCCAAATTGCCTTTGTTTCTTTTTGGCAGGTTGTTTAACGAGCTCGAAATTGAAATCCTGCTGGAATAAAGCTAACTGGCTAAGGAACAGGGGCAGGAATGACAAGAGACAATAGCCAGCTGTCCTGTGCCTGAAAGGGAAGAGGGGCTTTACCTGCATGCCCAGGATGTTCGGGAGAGGAATTTGGAAGTCATGAAAAGACCCCCAACCCCCTGGAGGCAAAGCTCAGCTGCCTGGAACCTGTGATGTCCTCAGCTATTGGCTTCATATGGCTGAGGACGTTCAGAGGGTACTCAAAATGGCACTCTCTTGAGTATTCCCCCAAACTAACAGCTATTTAAAAACAGAATAGAAGGTGTCTTGATTGGGTTTTTACAAATGATATTCTTGGCTTAATACTGGCCAAAAAAAGAGAACTAATTTACAACATGGGAGTGTCAAAAAAATCTTCAGGGGAAGTGAGTAGAAACATGGAAAGGAAGGCTGAGATGTGCTTAACTTTAAGAAAGGGAGTTTCAAAAGTTTACAAAAAGAATAAGAGAAAAAGTATACTCTGATAGCTTTACTCTCTGGAAGAAACTCCTCTGGAAAACAAAATAGTTGGCAATATCTCAAGAAATTAGTGATTTCACAGGCAGCCACCAGTAAAAAAGGAAAAGGAGCAGATAACTAGGTAGGAATACCCAGCGGTAGGACAAAAACCTGCCCATGAATGCTCTCTTCTTTCTTCTACTCCTCTCTGTCCACTCAGATCCTTCTAGGTCCCGCTCACCCCTCCCAGAGTTTCCCTCACCACAGAGCTTCCTTCTCCTATCCTGACTCACACTGACCATTCCTCTTCCAAACTTTCTGTACTTGACATTTGTTTGTGGACTTCTTTGCCTCCCCAATTCAACTCTAGGGTCTGAGACTGCAGGGCCCTCGTCACATGTATCTTGGTGTCCCCGGAATACCTCTAAACAGTACCTCCTGGGAGAGTAGATAATAAATAAATATGTGTTAATTAGGTCAAAGAAGTCAACTAGAAATCAGTGTTTTTAGAGGAAGGGGAAACTAGAGTAGGTATAAAGAATACAAAATCTGAGCATGCATTTTAAGTTGTACTAATACCCAAATCAATTTAAATCAATTGTGTAACAAGTAAAATCAAAAGGCATAGTCACCTGAAATTGCAAAAATAGCACAGTACCTGCAGGAGACTTTCTATGGCATGAAAGCCTCGAATTAAATTCAGAGCTGCGCATAAAAGACTAAGGATAAATGCCACAATCCCTGACAGAGTTGCTGGTTCCAGTCGCTGGTGAGCTGGAAAATAAAAGAAGTGATTAGGAATAAACATCAATATCTCACGTCAATACCTACAGGTATGTAAAATGAAATTCACTGCTCAATTTAAAGGGGTCAAATACTGATGAATCTTCATAAAATTATTTAATAATGCACCTTAGAAATTAAATATTTTTTAAAATGCAAAATGTCTGACATGACAGCTTAATTCCCCTGAACTCAAATTAACTTCTTTTTCTCTACACTTTTAACAAAGACACCTAATTTGCATTTGGGGTATACAGTGCTAAGGTGTCCTCATATCTGGCAGTAAATCATATAGGAAAAACCCTTATGCCTAAATATGTCTACCATTTACAAGTAGCTGCAAATATTTGCAAAGGTGAGTCTGCTCAGAAATTCACTACATAATTCCTACTTTTTCTGAAAATGCTTAGAAAACAGTTTTAAGGACAAACATAGCTTGCTTTTAAGCAAAGCTCTTCCTTATCTGGGTTCCAGCTCTATAAATACCACAGGATACATGTGAAAGCTCATCTATAATCACCGATCTGAACTCTACAGTGGAATGGATTCTTATAGTTAGGAGGTTCCTGGTCTCTGAAGACCATTTGAAAGTAAAAAAGCTAAAACAACAGCTGAAGAAGTTGCAGCATAAGATACTTAGATATACAACAGCTTCCCTTCATCATCTTGCGGTTAACAGAATTAACTATAGAGTCAAATGAAAACACGAAACTAAATACATAATCATCTAGACCTCAAAAGGGAGAAAGAGAGGACAACAGAACTACATTTAGATCATTTGATTTAAATCACTGAAGTGTAAAAGCCCTAACAATGAAGTTAATGAGGTGGAACATTAATATAAGGAAGGGCTTAAATCTTTGCAACTTATATTCAGCCATTACAGCAGAAAAGCTTCCCTAAACAATTCATAAAAACACGAAAACCCACATGTCGCAAAAAAGTATTTATTCCCCAGGTTCAGCAGAAAATCCACCTAATACAGGATGAGTTTTCTTAAATTTCTTCTGTGCCCGAGCTGACTGCTTGGTCTCCTAATCAATTTCCTTGAGATTTTAATATGAAAACAAAAAACTAAATGCCTTTGTAAAGTACTGATACCAAATTTTCTATCACTACAGAAAAAAATCTCGCACTTTGAAAATCTATCCAGTTGGTCTATCAATTAGTCATGTTTTACATCCCTCCCTCCATGCTTCCCCACTCCCTCTGAGTAGTAAGGGGGAACTGGGCTCTAAGTAAAAAAGAGATCCTTAACAAGGGCCTCAAGCATAAAGGCACCTGATAACTAAATAGATTATAGAAATAATATTTCTAAAGTATACAAAGCAAGTTTACCTTACAAAAAAACCAAACAATATTCTGTACTGTAATTAAGAACCATAGCTTTTTTAAAAAAAAATTTTTAATGAGAATTCAGATAGCACTCCATCCTTATCGTTCTTTTTAATATAACTTGGAAGTTAACCATAGTTTTAATTTACATTTTCATTAAAATTAATGCAGTTATCATGAGTTTTTTTTTAAAAACATACTTATTTATAGTATATATATTTGTGTGTATGGTATAATGTCACTTTTATGTGTATATAAACACACATACATGCATACATAGAAACAGACAAAAAACTGAACAGATATACATCAAGATGTAAAACACTATTACAATAAAGCTGCAATAAAGTTTCAATCAAAAATTTTTTCATACCAAAAACTGAGATATGCATAACATATAACACTGTGTAGTTTAAGGTGTACGATGTGTTGATTTGATACATTTGTATATTACAATATGACCATCATAGTGTTAGCTAACACCTCTATCATGTCACATAATTATAATTTTTGTTTTGTTTTTTGTTTTTTAACATCTTTATTAGAGTATAATTGCTTTACAATGGTGTGTCAGTTTCTGCTCTATAACAAAGTGAATCAGTTATACATATACATATGTCCCCATATCTCTTCCCTCTTGCATCTCCCTCCCTCCCACCCTCCCTATCCCACCCTCCCTATCCCACCTCTCTAGGTGGTCACAAAGCACCGAGCTGATCTCCCTGTGCTATGCGGCTGCTTCCCACTAGCTATCTATTTTACATTTGAAGAACCATAGCCTTTTGTGGTCAAGTAAGGAACAGCCATTCTTGAACAGAAAAATATTACCATTTTAATGTGTTGATCAATACCTATTTAAGAAATAAATAATATGTCTATACAAATTAAATATTTACTCAGTTGCTAACACTTGCCTCTTGCCCTTGGAGCACTCTCTTTATAATGATAGTATACCATTTATAAATTAATTATTTCAAATGACCAGAAATATTTTTAAAGACATGAAAGCAAATGACAAGCCTCCTTTAACAAGGACAAGGCACACATTATGCTGAAGGATAGGCTGGAGAAGTGCCAAATCACCGTGAGAAAGGAAATTCTCAAGTGGAGATTCCCCCACTCCCACCCTACCCCCTTCCTAAGAACTGTGGGAATGCTTACTAAGAAAAAACTCCATCTGCACAGAATGTGAGGGTGACACTTTCTCATTTTAACAAATTGAACGAGATATTTAATCACATTTTAATGTATTATGTTATATGATATTCTTTATTTCATAAAACAGATTTTATATCAGTTGTTATCCACAAATGCTTACTTCACACCTCAATCTGGCACCATGATAGGTACTATTAGGTACAGAGCAGATTTGGAACAGTAAGAAATGAAGAAATAAGAGGCGATGTAGAAAAAAATAATTTTGTTGAATTCAAAACAGTGTCACCTGGTCAGTTTTTGTTTTGTTTTGCTATTATTGTCTTCTGCTACAATGCTTTTTCTTTAATTAGTCTCCTTGAGCCCAATAATTTCATTTTCATGACAAAATTAAAATTTTCATGTACCAACGATTAATGGAGAGTTTACAAAAATTCCTAAAGAAATAAGAGTAAATCCTTTGGAACAAAAGGGCTATTGGTTATAGTGAATTAATATATTTATTAAGCAAATACTTTTTGTCATGATTCTGTGTAAGATGGTGTGTTTTAGAGGATAAAAGAAATGAATTACACAATCTGCCCTCAAGGCACTTCTAGTCTTTTAAAGGGAAATGGACTGATAAGCACATGAAAGTAATAAGTATTCTAAACGAAAAGAGTTAAAGAATTCTGAAAAGGAAAGATAACTAGGGGAAAGGTGGTGACACAAGAACCAAGGGAGATCTTTAAAGATGGTTAAAATTTAGACAGGTACAAATGGGAAGAACTGCATTCCATGCAGAGAAAAGAATATGAAGAGCCTGGAGATGGAAATGGGAGAAGCAAATAATAACAGCATCAACAAAAACTATTACTGCTACTCCTTCTACTAATCCTTCTAAAAGTGGCTGCTTTCAATGTGCCAGGCACCAACTGCTTTATATACATAATCTCATTTTATCCTTCCAAGAACCCAATGCAATAGGCAGTATAGTTATCCTAGTTTTTTCAGACAGGAGACTAAGGTTTAGGGAGATTGAGAAATTTGCCCAAATTGGGTAAAGGAACTGGGATTTAAATCTAGGTAGCCTGACTCTAGAACTCATGCTCTTAACCACTTTGCTATGGGGCATTGCTACTGGTTTTGTTTTGCTCAAAAAGATGTTTATAAGAGTAGGAAGAAATAAGGTCAGAAAGGGAGGCTGAAGCAAATTAACAGTCTGAAACACTAGGCTAAAAATTATGGGCAAATTAGACAATGGGGAAACACGGAAGAGCAAGAGATTGACGATTAAAGCTGTGCTTAAAGAATATTAATCTGTTAATGGGTTGTAAAGAGATTAAAAGTAGGGAGAGATAAGTAATATTTTTTTAGTGCCTTCTCACTAGGTATACACTGTCCCATTTATCCTTCAAAACAGAGTACTTCATGAGGTTAAGAATGACTAACTTCTCTGTGTCTGAATCTTCTCATCTATAAATTGAGGTTAAATAATTTGCTCTAAGCCAGACAGCTAGTAAGTGCCATCTTCACAATTAGCACTTGGGTTTGAAAAGCCCGTGCTCTTTCTACAATTCTGTATTAGGAAGTTCATGAGGGAGTCATTGCAAAAGACTTACTGAAATGAGGACCTAAATTAGGATAGTGACAGTAGAAGTAGAGAAGAAGAAAGAGGGGAGAGAGATCACAGAGGCTAAAACTATTAGGCTCGGCAACTAACTAGATGTGGGAAACAAAAGAGAAAAAAATCAAGGAAAATGCCAAGGTTTGAAGTGTGGGTGATTGGAAAGATAAGGGTGCTATTAACAGACCCAGTGGAAGAAACTCAGGTTTGATCGAGTATGGAGATATTTTAAACATATCAAACTTGAAGTGATGGTGAGGCATGTTTAATAAGCAACTGAAGAATGTAAAAGCAGTGAGCTGGAGAAACAGATGAGGTCTGCATATGATGGGACGGGTTCAGATGAGATTACCAATGAAAGAAGTGGGCCAAGGGCAAATCCTTGGTAAACACTACCTTTAAAGGGAGGAAGAGGAGGCAGGGAAGACAGATGTAGAACAACCAGAAAAGGAAAGAGCCACAGAAGCCTAGGAAGGGGAGACCATCAAGAAGAAAGATATGACTTACAAAGCCTGTAGACAGGCCAAAGACAATCTGAACTGAAAAAGAAAAAAAAAAAAGATTAGATTTATTGACTAAGAGATGGTTTCGACCCTTCATAAAATAGTTTCAGAAGAGAGGCTGAAGGCAAAATTCAGACAGCAAAAGGTTAAATAACTGGTGAAGGTAAGAGATAGAAGCAGTAAGTGAACACTTCTGCAGTTACAGGAGAGGAAAACAGGATGATAGCTTGACAGATACAATAGGATTGAAAAAGAGTTATTTTCCCCCTGTAATGGGGTGGAGGAGGGAGATTTTAATACATTTATAGGTATAACAACAAAATTCAGTGAAGATGAAATAGAAGAATCAAGAGAAAGGAAAAATAATTGGTGAAACAGAGTACCAGAGCAGT